TTGCACATCATAATTCATTTTATTTGTCGTCTCTATTGTTTTATTAATTTATTTTGGAAATTTAAAATGTCTTCCAGTTCCAGTGTAAATGTTCATTAGAATTTAAAGTTTACTGATCTTTGAGAATATGTTCATGGATTACTATACCATTACCATTATATTACCTGGAAATGGTCTCAAAACAACAATATTATCATTTATCACAATAACGTCTTGGATAATTTATCGTCCAGCAAAGTTTGGTATTGTGACCAGCCTACTATTAATATGATTTGTGTGCGTTTTTCCTAAATAAGTGTGAAAAATTAGCATTTGAGAGCAAATTTAAATAAAATATTTTTCAAGATAGAGATGAGAAACTTCAAAACAAAATTTTAAGATGGAATCTGAAACTAAACATCGATTTTACCAAGTTGGTATCGATCCGATACAGAATTGGCTTTGATGTTATTGATATTTTAGATCTATCTGCCCACTTCTAATGTAAAGAGCAATAACAACAGAACCAGCCAAGATATTTTGGAGGAACAGCCAGCCAACACACAGCCAGAGCTACAAAATGTGCTAAATTGGTCCAGTTAAAGTCCAGACCTAAATCCAGCAGAGACTGTGGGATAGTTGCTCTTTCCAATCCGACTGAGTTTGAACATATTTGCAGATAGGCATCAGCCATGGTTAGAGTCTAGATGTGCAAAGCTGGTAGAAACAGACCACAATGAACTTGCAGCTACAAACGCAGGGAAATGTGGTTCTGCAAAGTGTGGAGGGCTGGAAGCAAATGCTCAGCATGCTTTTATCCAGAAAATAATCTAGAAATTTCTGAATCCTTTCCCTTTCACATCCTAATTATTCACTGCTTTGTGTCACTCTGTCAAATAAAATCCCAACAAAACACACCGAAATTTGGAGTTGTAGCTTGACAAAATGTGACAAAGTTTACCAGGTGTGAATATTTTTGTGACACTGTCAATTAACATATTCTGAAGCAATAAGCAACCTCCAATCATGGTTTTCTGTTTTCTTATTACCCTTCTCCACAGCCACATTCTATCATTTTGAATCAGCCCAGCCATTCAGCTTGCAGCGGTATCCAGTGACAAGCGGTGCTAAAAGTCAGGCAGAGTGCAGAGCGGCGTCTGGGTGAGGAGTCACACACGTGGCTCCATGTTGCTTCTTGTATTGCAGCGCTGAACGGTTCCACCTTTTCTCCTGAAAGGCATCACTGTGGAGCTGCTGATGCATGTCTTATTGGTTATTTCTTGTCTCACAAACTTTGTAAATAAAATATTTTTTGACATGTATCATGTGTGTTTTGAAGTATTTTACTAAGAAAAAGCACTCTGCTCAGGCGGCATTTTTAAACATGTCCACCAGATGGCAGCACCCACCTTCAAAATGCCCATGCATTTGGCTCACCAGAGAACTCTCAAAATCAAAACGCTGAAATATAAAGCGTTTGTCACTCATTTTCCACTATATGTGTTAACTTACTGCATATACAGTTTCATAAATTAACTCATTCTGACTCCTGGAAAGGTAAGTGGGAGTAGAAAGTGGATGAACAGACTCATTTATGCATTTTGCATCCTTAAAGCATGTGTTCAGTCAAGCCTGCGTGTCATGCTGCTCAGATTGGGCCTGCTGTGTTTTGATGCCATTTTACCTCCACTGCATATGGTGGATATTAACATTATGAGACCTTTATCCGCTTTCTGACAGCATCTCTTCCACAATGGAAACACATGCAGGAGAACCAGAGAAAATCTTCTCTAATAACCCAAACAGCGTATATGCAAACAGAGAGTAATAACTAGCAGATGGAGACGGGTTTAAAAGGATGATTTCAGCCGTTTTCTACATGCTGACTGAAGTTCAGCTTTTTCCTCCTCATGAAAACTGAAGAAAACGTCACCCTCTTTAGCCACATGTACTATTAAGTGAAGTCAGAGTTAGAAAGGAGCTATATTTTCAACAAACTCCAAGCCTCTTATTCTGTTTGCTTAAGCCATCTGGGGAACTGTTATCAACACCTGCTTTAGGTCGGGTAAGAGTATACAGCACCTCCAAATTAGCGCCAAAGTTTGTGGAATTGGACCCAAACGCAGATGGGGAATAAGGAGTCTCCTTGAACAGACACAGACACAAGAGGAGCTGGAAAACATTCCACAGGAAACAGCAAAGCAATGGGAACGACAATCGGCAGGGAAAACAGAAGGATCTGGATCAAGAGGTAATCGGTACCTGGGTGAAGAAGCAGGACACAAACAAACTAAATCAAAATACTTTCACGAATATAAGAATCTAAGACTACAAGAAAGAACCTCAACACTAAAGCATGAGTATGGTACACTGGGCATGACAACAACCCAAAGTGTCATGACAATTACCCTTTCTACCTTCTAAGCCAACTCTTGCTCTGACGCAAGACTGCTGATTTGATTGACATCCCCCAATGAATCATGTCTACCCATGATAGATAATCCAACTAGCTATCTAGCTATCTACCAAAATAGCTAGCTAGTTAGATACCTAGCTGGTTAGCTATCTAACTAAATAGCTAGTCAGATAACAAGCCATTTAGCCATCTATTACTATCTATTTCAGTGGTGCCCAAAGTCGGTACTCAAGGGCCAGAATCCTGCATGTTTTATTTCTCTTCCTGGTGGTAGTAAGAACCTTTTCAGCATGTCAATGTTCTTCTTAGGCCTCTAATGAGTCATCATTTGATCCATTTGAGTTAAACCAGGGAGAGAACTAAAAGATGCAGGATGCCGGCCCTCCAGGACCAACTTTGGGGACCACTGATCTATTCCGATGGTTATCTAGCTAGCTAAAGAGCTAGCACTATCTATCTCGCTAGTAGGATGGATGGACACTTTGAACCACTTGACAGGCCACCATATCTACAGCACCATTTATTTTTTACATAGAACCAATTAGAGATTTTGTCTACAAAAAGAAAAAAATGACTGACAGTAAGTCACTAAGCCTTAGTGTTTTACTCAGTTACCCTTGACAACAGATAAAGAGGCAACTTCTCTCCGTTCTAGCCATCAGCCTAAGAGAGTAGGAGAATGCATCAGAAATCATCTTGGCGTTGTGGTTCAAGCCCTAAGTAGGCAAATCATTTCAAACATTTTGCACTAACGCTCAAAACGATGGCGTATTTGGAAAAGTGGTCTCTTCTTTGTCAGGGAAACATTTCTGTTTGTTCAACTGTTGCCAGACTAGGAACGTCTACAGACTGTCTCCTTTATCTTTATGTCCAAAGCCACCCTGATCTCCACCGTTCTGCTTTCTGAGGGTCGATAAAAGCCCACAAAGAGTCCCAAAAACTGACAGGGCTGTAAACAATGATTAACTGTGGGATCTTGTAACTGGAGACGCGATGGGAGAAAGACGGAGACACATACAGGCCATTCAGAGATCTGGCATAGAGAGTGAAAAAGTAGATGGTGAAAAAAAGGGGAAAAAAGTAATCTTTTCATAATGTTTCAAACTAAATATTTAGTTACCAAGCTAAATGTTTATCTTTGAAATATTTAGTACTGAGCTAAATATTCAGTTTACAGACTAAACATCTAGCTTCAAAATAAATATTTAGATAGCAAGCTAAGTATTTAGTTAATATGCTAATTTTCATGATGCTAACTGGACGTGTACTCCCAAAATAAAAGCTATGTTTTACGAATGTTCATATTAACACCAACTGACATTACTGATGTACTTCAGTTGTTGCTCATGTCGCCTCTCAATCGTTTATTTTTGTTCTTGACATGTAAAACATTTCAGTGTTAAAGGATCAGTCATCGGAAACACAGATGTTTATCAATGGATCTATAGCAACAGGTGACTGGCACCAACAGGACTTTAGCTTATATGTAAGCTTTTATTTTGATTGTTCACTTTCAGTTAAATATTTAGCTTTAGGTGAAATGTTTCCTTTGAAGCCAAATATTTAAGTCATCAAATAATATTTAACTAAAAGCTTGCTAACTAAATATTTAGCTCAGATCCAAGTATTTAGCTAGCTAACATTCAGTTTGAAATGACTAACATGGTAAAAATATGACTATAGAAAATTAACTCCCTTTTTTATGACAGGGTAAATAACCCAAATTATTGGTGCTAATTTTGGACTAAATTCACAAACGAAAGTTACAACCCTAACCCTAATGACTTAGCTATTCGACCAAAAGCATCTATGAGCATCGGTGTTGCCACATATTCGTAGTTGGATGTAGATCTGGACTTTGACTGGGCAACTAACATAAATTTGGTTTGATCCAAATTATTCTTTTTTTAGGGTTGTTGTGACATTGGGTTTGAGTTTAATAAAACTAATTGGGTCAAATTGGAGATATTTTTGCACATAAAACCAGCCCTCCTTCTCCTGCCTGTGTGTTCTAAAATAACAGTTGACTGAGGTCTGTGCCCGCTGTCCTGCACAGCTGGAAGTGTAATATGCTCACAGATAATCTCAAAAACACACGCTCACGCAAACACACATGCGCGCAAGCTCTAGTTCTACTCAGAGAAGTGGGAAATGTAGCTTCCTGAGCAGGAAAGGAGAGCAGGGAGGTGGGGTGTGTGTGTGTGTGTGTGTGTGTGTAATACCTTGTGGGGACGATTTTCCTGACATATACTACGTTGTGGGGACCAATTGCTCCTTGTGGGGACCGGAGCCTGGTCTCCACTAGGGGAAACCCTGTTTTTGGGTCAGAGTTAGGGCTAAGGTATGAATTGAGTTTTGGTTAGGGTTAGGTATGTGATGGTTAGGGTTAGGAAAAGGGTAAAGGTAAGGTTTAGGCTGTAGAAATGAATGGAAGTCAATGGAAAGTCCCCACAAAAATAGCAACACAAACGTGTGTGTGTGTGTGTGTGTGTGTGTGTGTGTAGGTGTGTGTCGTCACACACGCCAGCACTTCTGTTTTTGTCTGCTCCGCGTGCGCGATGCAGCCGAATGTGCTTTTACTGTCTGGGAGGAGAGTGGGAGGGAAGGAAGGAGGTTCTGAGTGGAAACAGAGCGTCCAGTGTTTCATATTTCACCTCCCAGTTGAAGGGAGAAAAAAAAAGAGAAAAAGAAGAGAAGGAGGAGGAAACCTGGGGACAATTTTCTCGAGGCGCATTTAACTTGGAGTTTATGGAGGCTGCAGTTGTGGAAAATGAAGATCTCCTCTCTGGTCTTTGCTCTGCTAATCCGAGCATTGTTTGGAGGTAGGAATATGTTGGTCTTTTTCCCCTCAACTTCTGCTGGAGTTAACATGGTGAAAGTTTATAGACTAACTGAAGAAAACAGAGAATCAGAGATGATGTAGAGTTGGATTTTGGCCATTAATTAGGGGATGACTACTGGACCCGTATTCAGAAAATGAGAAGGGATTCTAGAGTAAAGATTCATCTTGTGGGATTGTTCAAAAAGGTTTCCCTTTCTCATTAATTTAAAATAGCTTCAGGGTTCCATTGCAACAGCAAAGACAGTTCTCTGTGATTGCATCTCATTATTCTGATGGGCACCGATTGTTTCCTGACTTGTTTTTAAAGCATTAGGTTTAAGATTAGGGTTAAGATTACTCCTAACCCTAATGAGACTAGGATTAGCCCTACTCCCTTTGTCGTTAGGGTGCTTTTGTGGCACTAATGGCCTTTATTTGCAGTATTTAGACAGGAAAAAGGCAGAAACAGAAGAAGGAAGACATGCAGCAAAGGTTCCCAAGTTGGGATTTGAACCCCAAACGGCTCTGTTGAGGTCTGAGAATCTGTGTCTATGGGGCACCTGCTCTACCCATAGACTACGTGGTTTGTGGAACTGCTTACATCAGCACAAGTATGCATGTTATAAATATTCCCATTCAACACGTAATAGCAAGGGTTGTTCCTCATTTTCTGAACCCGTGTTTGTTGTCATGAGTACCAAAAATAACCCCATCGTCGGAAGGAAAAGGGAAGGTGACGTTCCATCTGGTCCTGGAACCAGATCTGGGGATGTGTGCATTTTGGGGTTTTATTTAATCTGATAAACCAAGACAAAACAGCGCAAAACTGGGAAGTGGACAGTAAATCATTGATGGTACCTGAAAATATTTGGAAATTATGAAACTGCAAATCTTTCCGTTTACGTCTCTACCAACTAGATACATCTAGAGAGTTAAATTCCTGCTTGTTTTCCTTTGGAAAATAGCTCAACCCTCAGTTGGATTGGATGGAGATGTTCCGTGAGCGTTCACTTTCATGCTTGGCCACAGTCTGCACAAATCTGTGGCCAAACTGAGGATACGTTCACGCAGAAAATCTTGATTCTTATTTCCAATTTTTTTTTTGGCTGAAATTGTATAATTTTGCGTAGTTGTTCATGCTGCTAATTGAAAACGACTGCAATCAGACATCTGTGTGAACAATTTACAGCCCCAAAATGGCCTGCAATCAGAAGAAAAACATAGACGTCATAGCAGCGCACTGTTTATGGAAGTAATAATGGATGCAGCCATATATGGGTTGATTTAAAGTTTATTCAGAAATGGGAGCCAACAGGATTGTCACACAATAATAAGATTAAAGAAGCTAATAAAAAGAAAGCACAACTAATAGCAACAGCGTTTCATGGAGCATTGACTGCAACTTCTGCAACAAAGTCTGATTGGATGTGTAGTCAGAGTAAAGAGTGGCGAGATTGTGATGTGATTCACTTCGATCACAGACTTCTTTTATATGATCATATTATATGATTTATATGATTATTACCTTCATTCATTGTTTATGTCTGGATTTGGCTCAGAATTATAATGTCATGTCATGCCAAGGATGTAGAAGTTGGATAAAATGCGACATGACCGTTCAGACTGCAGAAGCTTTGAAAACAATCGCATACGTATCCAATTTAGCAACATATATTGAAGAGGCGTATACCGGCATTTGTTATAGGGGGAAAGATCGTAATTGGACCGTTCAGACTTCAGTTTATGATTATAACTTTGGACATGGACAAAAAATGGGCAAAAAAGTTTGACCTAAATAAAAAAAATTTTGATTTGGGTCATATTTGCTTTCCGCGTGAACGCAGCTTAAAACTGCATTTCACCCAGGACACCATCCCTATGGACAAACATAGTGATGGAAGAATGATGTGAGAATTTTTTTTTTTTTGTTTCAGCAGGGCCAAAGAAACTGGACAGAGATCACAGAGCTAAATGCAAGAAATAAGACCAGTTAAAGGCTTGAAAAGTCTTGAGACTAGAGCAGAAGTTGACACTAAATCAATCAATCAATCAATCAAT